ACACACACACACACACACACACACACACACACACACACACACACACACACACACATTCTGGCATGCACCCTTAAAGTTGGCTACTACGTGCCAGAAACTGACGAATGATTATCGTTTCGACTTCGAATGGCACGCAGTAACCAACTTGGGAACAGACACGCAGACACACGCACAGACCATTCATACACACACATCAATAGACATATACACAAAGACACACAGACATCCACATAGGTTCATACATAGACGCCACACACACACACATACACACACACATGTCGATGACGTCATTGTGCGTTTCCGCTGGCAGAGAGAACAGGACGAAAGACAAACTGTACGCATCATGTCGATGTCAGTAGCACAGGTGGAGGCTGCTCTTGCAGAGGTAATGAAGTATGCAAAGGAGGGCGTCCACTACAACGGTGACAGCGAGTTGTCCTTGCTTTAGGACAGGGTGCCAAGGTACTTCATAGTCGCTGTGGATATGAGATCCACAATCATGGCAAACGGCGAGGGTTGTATCAAAGCACGAACACTCTTGCAACGCTTCAGAGAGTCACCACATGTACGTGTGGACAGCGATGTGGAAGACGGTGCATACAGTCTAAAAGGAGTGGTCAAGTGCATCTGCAGCGAAGGGATGTGCGAAGAAGGAGACGTGGACATGACAATGCAGCAGACAGGGAGGACATATACACCTGCGAACTTGGGCAAGTTGTTGGGCATTGTCGCACAGAATGGGGGAATGTTGGTTGATGGGTCGAAGGAGGAGTTGAAGAGTGGTGCTGCAAAAATATTGGTGTTGTCCAGAATGAAGGACATTACACAAACACCGCCACAAGACTTTCAAGATGTTCCTGTCATTGTCGCAGATGGTGTGGAATATATTCTGCTGGATCAACTTGTGGACTTTATAAAAAGAGTGACGACGACAGGAACGTCCTCCATGAGGCGTTGCACGAAGTGACAGAGTTTGCAATGCAGGGTCAAGATCTGATAGAATTTGTGCCAGCAATAACAGAAGACAACATCATATCTGGCAGACCGTTGTAGGGGTAGTTGTTATCAGCTGCTTTGGAGCGGCTCGGTCTTGCAAGCTGCGATGTTGAGAGACAAAGACAAAGAGAAGAAGGGTGGAAAGTGATGGCCATGGAAACAAATTTAGCAATCATTCCAGACAACGGACATACATCAACAACACAAGAATCAATAACCAGTATGGCAGTCGATGTGCCTCTCATGCAGACAGCAACGAGAGAGCAGCTAGTGTGTTGCGATATCTTCAATGCTTTCACAATGGAGAAAGAACAGCGTGATCATGGATTTGAAGAGGTCAATTTGCCAAGTTGTTGTGCAGAGTACACAGACAGTGCAGAAGAAGAAAATGAAGAAGAGGATGAGGGGGCATCATCTTCTGACGTGGAAGTGAGCGGCAGCAATGTCAGCAACGACGAGGAAGACGAGGAACATGATGTATACTATGATTTGAAGGGTGCGGGTGGACAAGTGACAACAAGGTGGACACATGCAATTCTGAGGTTGACACGTGCTTTTCCCGATCCGCACAAAGTGTTGCGTGTTGTGATGAAGGGGGCAACACCAGATGGTGCACTACAGTATGCCGCAGTGACCAGCATAATGAAATCATGCAACAAGGAAAAAAAGTGGTTACGTGTTGGCAAGGGATGGTTTGTTCTGGTCAATAGAGAGGCTGTGCTAGCAACGTCACTAACATGGGGAGTCAACCTGAGTTGCCTCATACACGGCGCCATGGCGACAGCTTGGGGAGAGACATTACACCCCGGCTTGTCAACAGGAGACGCAATAGTTAGTGCTCGGTCACGGCAGTGACCGGAGACACACCCACACACCACGACAGACCATGTTAGACATCAGGGATGATGACAGGCATGCATCCCTCAACCTGTACATCCCTCTATGTCTGCCTCAAATTCAACGACGGTCGGGTTCACTACTGCGTGCCATATCAGTGTCCACCGGTGCTGTTTATTGTCGTTTTGGCCCGCACTGGTGAACCTCCACCCTTTCTCTCTCTCTTTATATATATATATATATATATATATATTTTTTTTTTCTCTCTCTTTCTCATATGTCGAGTTGTAGCTATATTAGAACCTCTACATCCATCTGCGGGTTACATTTGATGCTGCCTGTTGTTTGCCTCTTCAAGAGAGAGAGAGATCACTACAGCGTGCAGACACATGATTGAACAATATTTCAATCATTTGATGATTGTTACGATGTATGTCATAATTTGTTGCCTTTTGGAGTACGTGAGACACATGAGACCCCCTGTGATGACCAATGTGTGTATGTTGTTTTTTTTTTGCATTCTCTGGAATTTAAATTCAAATGTAGTAGGTTGTGAAATGTTTTGGAAGTTTGTGCGGAGATCGGCTGAGGTGCCGAGGTGCAATCATTTTCACGCGGACATGGAAAACACATACTATATTCACAAACGTCGTGGATGGATAGTTACGAACTTGGTCAGCCGCAAAACCGTGGTGATGAATGTTGTGTCATATATCGTGTACCATGCGTAAGTCGTAGCCTCTTCGTGCACGGCCATAGAACCTATCATGGCATATAAATTATCGTGTTGCACGATTGACTACTAATCTTTGTCAATTGGGATCAGCGACACAGACCATTCGTACCAAAAACGGCAATCAGTACTCCATCTCTATCTCTTTTTCACAGAGAAGAGGATATGCGACACTTACACAATATAACAAAATATGCTCTACAACTTATAATTATAACGACCTGAACCAATCTACAAAATGTTAATGAAAACACTGTCCGCACCGCTCGGTTTGTTTTTGGAATGAACTGCGTGCACAGAAAATGGACAGCGGTCCACGAGTGTGCGACTGTGGCAGGTCTTTCATGTCATTACGAACTTTCAACTCACATCGTGTGAGGGCATGCCCGGCCATGGCGGACGAAAGAACACATGGCCAGGAGATGGGTGTGGTCCATGACGTCAGAGCATCAAGTATAGGTGCAGTGAATCTCGTGAGCGATGAGAGCGAGGACGTCGGGGCCCCCGAGAATGTAGACGGCGAGGGCAGGACATTCGAAGAGCAGCAACCGCAGCCTGTCGAATCTTTTGACAGCTCTCGCAAGCTGGCGGCACTGGTTTTCTCCGCCAGGGGCGGCGTCGGTATGTCGCAGAGCGACATCGATGCTCTCTTGTCACTTCTCATGGACCCGAGATTCTGCACGAGAGACATTGCGTATCGTAATAGTCGAGAGTGTTTGACATGGGCAGGGAGTCTAGCAGATGCTGCTTGATGGAAAGAGTTGGATCTACATTGTGACGATTGACCACGGGATGCGCACGTCATCTTGTGGCACCGCGACTGACGAATGACATTTCTGTCGATTTTTCATATCGCATTACAGAAATGCGAGACGGTGTCTTCTCTAGAAGTGTCTCCGTCGTCAGAGCACCTCAGTATATCCGGCCCACGCAGCAGAGCTCTAAGTTATCACATCCAGTCGATCATTCGAGCGGACAAAGGCGTGAACGAGAATGGTAATCCACGTTATGTTATCCCTCTTTCATTGTATTCCGACAGGACACATACAGACGGTCGTCAAAAACAGACGGCGTACCCTCTGATGATGTCACTAGCCGACCACGCATCCGAAGCCACATTGTTGGCATATCTTTTTGTGCTTCATCATCGTCCGCGTGACAAAGGATGGGGTTTGCAGTCCACCGCATTCAGAAAGCGAAAGACCATCATTTTGCACAAGGCCCTTTCAGTGGTGTTGCAGTCTGCGAAGGAGGCATCTCATGACGAAATAATGATACCGACAACGCGATTCGAGGACATAACTGTCCACTTTTTCCTCCTCAACTTTATCCAGGACTACCCAGAATGATATGCAATTGCAACTGTGAAGTTTGGTGTATGTCTGACATGCACCGTGTCCAAAAACGATTTTAATGTCATAGACTCATAGCCGATTTCACAGACTCTAGGAGATCTCACAGCAGATGTGTTCAACGCCGACGACATCGACGTTCGCCGTGCAGCGGAAGCACGAATGTCGGAGTTGCACATGCATAGGCATGTTCAACAAAACGGCCTTTGGAGGTTCTACAGGGGCCCCAATGGTGACGATCCTCAGCTAGACCACCACTTGGCATTGCAACCAGACCGTATGCACACAATCGAGCACGACATATTTCTGCACATGATTGACGCATTCAGGACCGTAGCCTTTGAGAAGTTGCCGCACTTACCGCAAACAGAGATCCTGAAGGAACTAGATGCAAGGTTGCAAAGCGTTAGTGAGAGATGCACGCGAACATACCCCCAACTTGTGTTGCCGATGGCCACTAGCAGCGACTTTTTTTCGAGGGAGGGACGGTTCGAGGCGAAGTAAAACCGGTCTGTGATGACAGTGTGCGTGTTCCTTATTTTTAATATTATACCGCGCTCAACAGGCAAGGGCATTACTGTTTGTTTTGTGAAACTGATGGAAATGTACATACGAGTGTTTCGGTGTACAATACACAGTCGTGCTTCGCTCGATGTATGGGACGCTTTGATCACGGACTTCGCAACGACCATCAAAGGAAAATTGAAAAAATATCAATCATCAACATGGAAACTCCCCAAGTTGCACGATCTCATGCATCTGACAACGTGTATTGAGCGATCCGGTGTCCCCGACACCTTTGCGGCAGATGTTTGAGAGCATCACCACAGGAAATTCTGCAAACAGCCATACCTGTCATCGAACAAGCGGAAAGCTTCAACCCAGATGCTAAACCATGTGCGCCGGTCATTGGCGTTGCGCGAAGAGATCGGGATCGTGAGGAAACGGAGGAAGAAAACGGTTGAGAACCGGTCGTCCGTGACAGACGGTATGGCCACCGGAATGAACACCCTCACACTACGCGACACGGCAATGCTACAACTGCGGTGGTTCGACATCGATGACGAGTACATACGCGAGGGAGAAGACATTGACAACCATGCGTGTAAGATACTCGAAGAGCTTCCTTGCAGACGCGATTTTCGAGCTGCGCTTACGGCATACATAGTGGAGAATGGTTGTCAACCTCCTTCTGACGACCTGCTTATACACACACGAACACACCTGGCCATCGTTTGCTTACAGGACGGAACAAACAGGGGCACACTTGTTCAAACTGCAAGAGCGTCGCCACAGTTCCATGGGAGACCAGTGCACAGTGACGTCGCAATTAGAGCAGGCAACGAATGCACATGGTTTTCATCAGTAGTCATGTTTTTTGTCGTGGACGCACTCGCAGACAGCGGTAATATGAAACACAACTGCGGATTTGTGCAATGGTACAAGGAGGTTGACAGTGAACGGCAACACATGACAGGTTGCAAGAAATTGAAATGGGAGAAGTTGAATGGACATCAACACAGTAGCGTCGTTTCGACCGATACTATTGTAGACATAGTTCACATTGTTCCACGCTTCTCTAAACCACAATGGGGATCGAAGCAGCATGCAAAACAGCGTAAGGACTAAGTTTCTATCTGTCGTCGCCACGGGATAGTCATGTTGTTTCTTCCGAAGTATAGGGGAACAAGAGAGGACATTCGTCTCTTTCTTTCCGTTATTTGTTGAGAAATATCATGTCAAATGTGGCCAAGCTTACGAAGCGGTGAAAAACCACATGTGAAACGAAAGTGTCCCCAAAAGTTCGCTATTGCGTGACATTTACGTAGTCAACAGTGATAATCGTTACAGTTTTGGCACGCAGTACCCTCTCTCTCTCTCTCTCTCTCTCTCTCTCTCTCTCTCTCTCTCTCTCTCTCTCTCTCTCTCTCTCTCCCCGAAGTATCCTATAAAAACGATTTGAAGTTGTTAAAAAAATTAACAAATCGTCTGTGTCATTTCAATTTGACCGACACGTGTGAACAGGAACAGAAACTTACGACGGCGCGCAGCATTCAGGAAGGAGCGACACGGAATACTGAACAACAGGGTGCAGGTAAGAGAAGTCGAGCGAGGATGATAGAGTCACAAAAAAGTAACACGTGTGGTGGCGGCGCGAAGTACTCATATGTGGGTACGAAACCGGTCATCTGTCCAAGGATGGAAAATAAAGACGAACAGCACTGTAGAGAGGTGGCAAGCGAGCCGTTGTTGTCATTGACCAGTGAGAGGTCAGCAAAGAGGTGGCAGAAAATGTTGAGGGACCCTTGGTACTCGAAAATGTACGATATAATGACAGAGGGTGAAGCAAAGTCTCCCCAGTTGATAATCGAAGCACTAAGGGAAAAGCGAAAGTCGGGGACATGACGAGAACGAGAGAAGAGCACACTGATATTAATGATGACGACGAATTGACCGTTGGCTTGACCGTTGAGGTCATCAAAGGACGATGCGAGGAACGTTCACTACTGCGGGCATTTGTTACATAAAAACCGGTGGCTTCACCAGTTGATTGACCCGCAGTAGCCAACCTTCTCGCGGTGATGGTCGGGGACATGTTCGAAGTTTTTCTTTGCTCGCTATTCTTTTGTTATTGTGACTATGCGAACCCGTGCCGCCTGACAATACGGATATAGTCATTCTGACGCATAAAGAGGTTGGTGACTTAAATGACGTCGCAATATCAACAATAAGAGTTTGGTTGTGCCTCTCTCTCTCTCTCTCTCTCTCTCTCTCTCTCTCTCTCTCTCTCTCTCTCTCTCTCTCTCTCTCTCTCTCTGTCTCTCGTTGTTTGATTGATTGATTG